GAGGGGGAGAGGGAGGAGGGAGAGGGAGGAGGGAGAGGGAGGGGTAATCGACCTGTACATGCGCATACGCGACACGAAGAATGACCAGTTCATGTGAGTACGTGAGGAGGAAGAGAAGAAGGAGGAGGGAGGAGGGAAGGATGAGGAGAAGAAGAAGGGAGGGAGTCTATATGGGCGTGGAAAAATGAGAGAGCAACATTAGAACCTTCGCATAGTAATATTGTTTCCATCTATTCTCATCACCTGGCATATGACCACTCACCTAACCCTCACTCTCTCTCTCTCTCTCTCTCTTTCTCTCTCTCTCTCTGTCTTTTCCGTGGCATAGATCGCAGTTCGCAGCGCTGGACGAGCATCAGCGAGAGGAGATCAAGCGAGAGAAGCGCCGGCTGCAGGAGAAGCTGAGACGCATCAAGCGTAACGAGATGAAGGCGCAGCTGCAGCCGTCGTCGCATACGACTCCGCCGAGGAGGAAGATGAAGCTGAAGCCCCAGCTCAAGGTCAGCCAGCATCCGTCCGTCTGCGGGTCGGCGTCGTTGTTCGTCGCTCGCCGGCAGCTGTCGATGTCGTAGCGTGTTGATTTTATTTGTGGTTGTTCGCGATGCGAGTGTTGGCCGGCTGGGTGTTATCGTCTGGGTATCATGTTATCGTCGTCATGGTGTCATCATGTTGTCATCAAGGCATCATTATATTATCATGATGTTATCGTCAAGTTATTGTGTAATCGTCACGTTATCATCATGTTATCATCGTGTTATCATTATGTTATCATCGTGTTATCATCATGTTATTATCGTGTTATCATTGTGTTATCATCGTGTTATCATCATGTTATCATCATGTTATCATCATGTTATCATCGTGTTATCATTGTGTTATCATCATGTTATCATCATGTTATCATCATGTTATCATCATGTTATCATCATGTTATCATCAAGTTATCATCATGTTATCATCATGTTATCATCATGTTATCATCATGTCATCATCATGTTATCATCATGTCATCATCATGTTATCATCAAGTTATCATCGTGTTATCATCATGTTATCATCATGTTATCATTGTGTTATCATCAAGTTATCATCATGTTATCATCAAGTTATCATCATGTTATCATCGTGTCATCATCATGTCATCATCATGTTATCATCATGTTATCATCAAGTTATCATCATGTTATCATCGTGTCATCATCATGTCATCATCATGTTATCATCATGTTATCATCAAGTTATCATCATGTTATCATCGTGTCATCATCATGTCATCATCATGTTATCATCATGTTATCATCAAGTTATCATCATGTTATCATCGTGTCATCATCATGTCATCATCATGTTATCATCATGTTATCATCAAGTTATCATCATGTTATCATCTTGTTATCATCGTGTTATCATTGTGTTATCATCATGTCATCATCATGTTATCATCATGTTATCGTCATGTTATCATCATGTTATCATCATGTTATCATCATGTCATCATCATGTTATCATCAAGTTAT